TTGGTAAGTGGCTGGTAAATGGTTAGTAAGGTGTTGGTAAGTGGTTGGTAAGGTGTCGGTAAGGTGTCAGTAAATGGTTGGTAAGTGGTTGGTAAATGGTTGGTAAGTGGTTGGTAAGTGGTTGGTAAGTGGTTGGTAAGTGGTTGGTAAGTGGTTGTTAAGTGGTTGCTAAGTGGTTGCTAAGTGGTTGCTAAGGTGCTGGTAAGTGGTTGGTAAGGTGTCTGTAAGTTCTTAGTATATGGGTGGACTGTAGTAGGTTAGCAACCACTCAGATGTGAGTAAGTGGGGGTGTGGCGTGGGTGGTAGTAGAAGAAACTATGATTATTAAGATTATTAAGGAAATAAGATATTAAAAATATTTATATTTATGATACAGTATTATTATCAGATTACTATTAGCAGTAACCATTTAGATTGACAGGCTACAAACAACTTACAGTAGTTTTATYATTAATGAAATAATATAATTCACATTCATTTATCTATTACTTATTATTTTTAATTACTCAATACTTAAAACTATATTTTAAAACTCTAAGGTACACAATCTAATAAATCTATTTAACTTTAGTGTGCATGCTTTATATCTTTGAAACAAACAAAAAGATTTTTTTCTGACTGCAGCTATTTGTATATGTAATAGGACTCCATGCTGTCCAATTAAGAAATAATTGGACGAGGAAAATTCCGAGGACTGACAAAATTGGATGAGGCCGTAGGCCGAGTCCAATTTGGCAGTCAGAGGAATTTTTCGAGTCTAATTATTTCTTGATTGGGGAGCATGAAATCCCATTACCTATTAATTATATTGCTGCGTGATTAAACCCATATCAACAAGAACTGTCCAATTAAGAAAATAATTGGACAGCTACCTATATGGGATTAATGAGAAGCTGTATAATTATATAGGAAATACAGTTGTTTGCATCTAAGCATGAACACATCACGTTAAAACATGTTCTAATAATTGATCTCTGAAACGTGAGAAGTTAGTCAACCAGAAAGTGCACGCTTGGCAAACTGCTCTTTGAAATCAAAATCTTCCCTGTGATTTCAAAGAGCCTTGGCCAAACAAGCACTTTCTGGTTGACTAACTTCCTGTTTCGGTGACCAATTAGAACATGTTTAAGTGTTATGTGTTAACGCTTAGATGCAAATCGCTGCAGTAGTGAAAGTGATCAGTCCAGAACAATAGAAATAGTCACCATATTTCAATTCAGTGTATATATATAGCTTGTAATAGTTTCACATATATTATGGTCATGCACCTCAATATATTCAAAAATGGATTTTGTACAATTCTAAAGTCGAAAGAAATTCTGATTTACAACTTTTGCACAATTAATTATGTTTAAGCCTCAATAAAATTTATTTCCTCTGATAGTCATAGAGCAGACCAAATATAGAAATGATCCTGAGAATTCATTCAATTGAATTTTTAGAAAATATGTTCTGGTTTCATGAGCATGAAATTATTTTAAATTTGCCAACATGGAGCTATTAAATTATTATTTAATAATAATTAATTGGTATAAAACTGGCATTTTTTTCATTCCATTTTTTCGAGAACATATCAGTATCTAAAAGCTAAAAATACTTTAGCATTTAATAACAATTTTTATACATTGGACAGGGATAATTTTATCTTGCCATCGAATGAAGAGTTATCAAAAGGGTGAAAATTCTTGTAATAATGATAATACTATTCCTAATAATAAATAATATCCATTAAAATGTACTGTTCGTGATCTTGGGATGTCATGGTTTGGCATTATATTCCAAGCTTTCATTCCAATTTTGAAATTTYGAAAATTACTGAGGTCTATATACTGATATAGAATGACTGTGATTATTCAAAACCTTCAAACTTGATCAATACCCTGGAACGACCTCTTGGGTGATCTACATCAGGGCATGGCTTAATGCAAAGCTCAAATTGGAATTGCGTGGCTGACCTTCATATCAGTAAAAATTATGTACAATCTGTACTTAATGGATGGGATTTATTTTGGGGATATCAAAGGTAGAAATATTGGTACTCTTCTTCAAGGCAAGGTTACTTTAATTGCTATCTTGATACTTTAGAGGATGAATGGCCTGAGTCTTTACTGTTACTAGTTGAGATACTTAACTGAGAGAACTGACTGTGACATGACTCTAGACTTGATATGGACCCCCTKGGAAAAGAGAAAAAATGAATGAGTGAACAAAAATATAATAAAATGTAAGATTGACTAAGAGAAAAGCAAACAAAAAGGAAGAGTGAATGATGGATGGATAGCTTGATGGGATGAGATTAGATGGTATGAAATGATAGCTGGATGGATGGATAGCTGGACTGGGTGTGATAAATGAAGTGTTGGATGGATTGATGGATGAATAGGCAGATGGGCAGACGGACGGACAGATGGAGTGATGGATGGTTGGATTGGTGAACAGCCAGTCAAATGGTTGGATGGATGGATGAATGAATGGATGGAAAAAAGTATTGCTAGTATAGGAATCAATCATAGAAAAAATCAACATACTTAAAATCTCCTGAGGCTAGTACTTCATGATAGTACATAAGCTTTGCCTTGTTGTGCCTTGCATGGGCCTGGCCTGATGGTAAACCACTCTTGAACTTCCATTGAAGGACATAGACACCAGGTATTGATGTTACATGGGTTCCCTGTGTTTAGAGAAAAGAATACAACATACTTGGTGGTCAGCTCTAACATGGGCACCCTGTGGTCAATCAATGGGTATACTTGTTTGCCAGTCAGTAAAAAACAAAAAAATGGTTACCCTGTGGTCACTTAATGGGTATACTTGTTTGCCAGTCAGTAAAAAAC